CCAGCAGGTGGTCATCCCCCAAGGGGTCCCAAACTGTGAGAGGGCACAGGCCAGGCTGAGGGACCCCCCTGAGTGCACAAATTTTTGTGCACCAGGCCTCTAGTAGTCTTATAATGAAGGATTTAGAGAAGAAGCCATATCAAGACTGGTAGGGAGGGCACAGATGAAAAAAGTCTGGCCCAGCACTCACAGGTGGCTGCTGAGAAACCAGAGGGATATCTCAGCTACAAAGGTTTTCCTGAGATGTGAGGAATCTCAACCCCATGCCTGTCTCCCCAGCCCAGAGTGCAAGAGCTGAGAAGAGGCAGGAATATAACATCTGGCTGTGAAAATCAGCAGTATTTCTGTCCAGCAGGAAGAGACTTAGGTGCCCTCTTAAAGAGCCAGGGCAAAGATCTCATTTGCTCACCCTGGTAGAGGGAGAGCAGGAGTGGACTAGTCATGTGAGAAGAGGCTGAGATTCATGGCTCCAGGTAGAGAGCAAATAATGACTGTTTTACTTCCTCCTTTCCAATTTGGTTTTTTTGTGTGTGTTTTTTTTGTTTTTGTTTTTGTTTTTTCTTCTGGAGTTGTAAAACATTTATTCTGCCCCTTCTTCATCTGTCATGACTGAAACTAAGGACTCCATCACTTGGCCCAAATCATCTGCCAAGTGTAAAAGGCTTCTTACATTGTGTCCTCTTGAACTAGGGAAGGAGTTGTTGAGTTGCTCCATCACTTCCTCTAACCCTGTGCTTGTGTCCTGGGGAGGACTCAGAAGATCTTCCTCACCCATGGATTCAGAAGTGTGACTGCCAACCACCCGCAGCAGCATAGGCTGACTGCTGTCTGACCTCTGAAGAGAGGTAGAAGGCGAGGACACAGTTGTTCCATTCACCTTGGCCTCTGCTTGGGGTTGCTCCAGCAGCTGCCTTAGCCTATGAAGCTGGGACTCGAGCTGTTTATTGTGGTCTTCCAGGATTTGCATCCTGGCTTCCAGGCGGCCTTTGTGTTGATGAAGTAGCTTGGCCTCAGCAATGAGCTCAGCATCCCGGGGACTCTGAGGAGAGGTGGGCATCATTTCAGGAGGAGATGGCAGTGGGGACAGGCCTTTGTATTCATGCTACTGCTTCAGACGATCATATTCTGCTTGCAGATTCCTGTTTTCTTCCTCAAGATCTGCTAGGGTTCTCTCTAGCTCCCCTCTTTCCTCACTCTCTAAGGAAATCAAGATCTAGGCAGGACTATGAGGCTGGCTCAGGGGGGAGTCCTGGTTCAAACTTTGGCAGTAATGCTGGATTAACAAATGTTCATCATTTATGCTCTCATTAGGAGAGATGCTATCATTTAGATAAGATCCATTGCTGTTTTCCATTTCTGCTAGCCTGCTAGCATAATGTTCAATGCGTGAATGAGTATCATTGTGTGAAAGTTGAGAGGACGAGGCAGGCACAGAATCCACCGGCCAGAAGTTGATCAGAATAACAGGAGTTTCCATGTTGTCCCCCTCTAAGACAGTCTGCACTGGCAGGTAGCCCATTTGGGGATGCTTCGCAAAATACCTTTTGGTTCGAAATTTGTTTTTTAGTACCTTGGCAAAGTCACGAACATCTTCTCTTGATGTTGTCGGAGTGCTATATTCCACCATGGGGTAGTGCATTTTATGGCCTTTTGCAACTCGACCAGAAAAAAAGCAACTTTGGCAGATGTCATAATTAAAGTGTTTCAGACTCCTGTACCTGGTAAAGAACAAAAACAAACACGTATGTATTTCTTCAAATCAAATTCCCAAAGAACATTCTTTAATAAACCTTCCACCACACTGTCTTAATGCTAAAACCAGCCTGTGGTGTTCATTAATCCCACAATGTAAGTGATTAACTTCCTACCTCCAGATTTGTCTGGTGCTTCTCCTACAGTATCAACACATTTTGGCAGAAAGATTATCCTATAACCATATGGAAGGAGGGAAGAGAAATTCAGTTCTTATTTAAACTCCACTAGGAACTCTTTCAGATTAAGTACGAAGATACTGGCAAACTTCCCGTCTTTTGAAGACCAAATACTAGAATTTGAAAGAACTTCCAGGAGAGACAGATGCATGTATTGTAGCCCCCCTACCCATCATGGGAACAAAAATTTTCTGAAGCAGTTTTTTCAAAAATATATATAAAGATGAGCCCGGCCTGTGTGGCTCAGTGGTTGAGCATCAACCTATGAACCAGAAGGTCATTCAGTTCCCAGTCAGGCACATGCCCTAGTTGCGGGCTCAATCCCCAGTGGGTCGTGCAAGAGGCAGCCATCTGATTGATGTCTGTCTCTCATCGATGTTTCTATCTCTATCCCTCTCCTTTCCTCTCTGAAATCAATAATATATATAGACAGCATGGGGTGCAGATGTGGAAACACACTCTTATTTACATATAACATTATTATATGAGATAGAGTTTGCACGATTCAAATGGCATGAGTAGGCAGATTTATATAGAGTTTGTTGTAGAACCTAGTATTAATTACTAACATTAGTTGAATACTTGAAGTAAGCAAGGCAAGGTGGAAAGATCTTTCATATACTACCCAATTTAATCATCACAACAACTTATAAAACATATAGTATTATTATTATCCACATTGTACAGATAGATAAACTCAGGTTCAGGGAGGGTGAGTAACTTAACCAAGATCACACAGCTTTAGTAGTGGAGCCAAGCTTTGAACCCAGATAATCTAACTCCAAAGCCCTTGCTTTAAACATTATAACCTACTATCTCCTCTGGTTAGTAATAGTCTTGAAAGAACTGCTGTAACTCAGCATAATATTGTACAATAATGTACCTTTTTGTTTCTATATGTATCAGCACACTGCAAATGTAAAATGTTTTGCATAGGGCCTGACATAGCCTAGATATACAATATACATATGTACTAGTATATGTATTATACATCACCAAATGGTAGCCACATTTATATTTAATGCTCCTATATGGAGTAAGAACCCAGGCTTGGAACCAAACAAACTTGGATTTGAATCTTTGCTCTATTATTTACTAGGAGTGTGACTATGAGCCTCAGTAGCTTTTTCTGAAAATCATGGTTACTAATACCTGTTATAAAGCAGTAGAAAACAAAGTATGTATATATCTTTATGTACACATATATCTATCCTACAGGGTGAATGTGAATTCTGTGTGCCCTGTACCCAGAAGAGGAAACCAAGATCCAAAGGATGATTTGAGCACAATAATGTCATTTGCAAATGTCAAAGAAAGCCCACTAATTCGGGTCTTCTGGGTCTAAGCTCTAGGTACTTTATATGCAGGTTATTTTTTTTTTCCTGTAGAATCACTAACATTTATTTTAAAAAGGAATTTGTGTGCCTTACTCCTTGTTTTTATTTTTCTTTAAAAAGTGGTTCTGTAATGACTCAATAGCTTCAGTATAATTTATTACGCCTTTAGAAAATATTTTAAAATCATTACAAGTGAAATAACTATAGTGTATAAAACCTTTCAAAAACTACCTTTTTTATTCATTCAGATATATAGAAGACATACGGTATATTTGTTCTAGCTAGGTAAACCACATTTATATCAATGAAGTCTTATGTTTCTAGTTGATGTCATAATTTTGCAGAATAAATTTCAATGAGGCTTAGAAGTGCAATCTTTGTATTAAAAACATGTTTATTGGAGTATGGCATTGCATAAATACCAATATTAAGATCTAAGTTACTTTAAAATATATGTTTTGTTACTTTCTTTTTTTCATGTGTTTATAGCTAACTTTCAATTATCCTTATCATTGGAGTAGGAAAATTGGCATGGACAACTTGGAAGTGAATAACCAATTCCCAGATTATATTTGATTCTGTAATATAGTATGGCTGCAGGGTGCCAAAACAAGCAGTTTAAATGTAAACAGCTCAATTGAGCTACTTCTTTGTTATTAAATAGATTTTTAAAATACCAGTTGTTTAGTGAATTTAATTAAGCCAACTTTTCTTGTAAGGTTTATGCTTTTTTCCTTGTGTTATTCCTCTTCAATTTGTGGCTGTTTTAGATAATTGCATTAATTTGTTTCCTTGCTCATACTTGGCCTGAACAGAGCACAGTAGTGTGTTTGCTGACAGAGAAAAGCTGCCTAAAAACTGGTGGGAAATGTTCGAGGAGAGTACATTGATTTGTGGAACATCTTCACTTAAAAAAAAAACCCCTGTCAGCTTTTATCTGTTTTGCCCATACCTTCTGCTTCATGATCATCTCATTGATGTCTTCAAGATCACCCACCATCACCCTCTGCGACTTTATAACTCGATCAAGCAGAGACAGCCAGTTGGTAAGTTCTGTCCAAGCCCGGTTGAAATCTGCTAGAGCAGGTACTTCCAAAAGCAAGGTGGATGGCATTTCCAGTGTGGAGATGGCAGTTTCCTTGGTAACCACAGGTTGTGTCACCAGAGTAACAGTCTGACTAGGAGAGGCTCCAACAGTGGCCAGTCCAGGAGCTGGGCCAGGCTGCTTTGCCCTCAGCTCTTGAAGTAAATGGGTTACCGCCTTCCACTCAGAGCTCAGATCTTCTAACTTCCTCTTCACTGGCTCAGTGGCTGGTTTTTCCTTGTACAAATGTTGCCCTTTAGACAAAATCCCTTCCACATCCGGCTGTTTAGCTTGAACTGCTACTTCAGTTTCCTTAATATCAAATGATCCTCTTTGATTTGGTTGATTGAGAATTTCCAACTGATTCCTAATGGGAGATAGCCACAGAAGCAGATGATTTAATTGCTCTTCAAGCTGTCCAAGATCCTTTATGTTAGCCTCAAGTTCTCCTTGTTTTGTAGGTAAGTCTCTAGAAATCTTTATCCACTGAAGATTTGTCTGCTTGAGCTTCTTTTCAAGTTTATCTTGCTCTTCTGGGCTTATGGGAGCACTGACAAGCACTGTTCCTCCTGTTTCATTTAATTGTTTTAGAATTCCCTGGCGCAGGGGCAGCTCTTCCACAAGTAACTTGACTCGTTCAAGTTTTTCTTTTAGCTGCTGCTCATTTCCAGGTTCAGGTGCAATAGTAGTAATGTTATCCACTTCTTCCAACCAGAAAATAAATTCATTTAAATCTCTGAAATTCTGACACGATATTCTTTTGTTCTTCTAGCCTCTTTCTTCTTTCTGCCAGCTGTTTGCAGACCTCCTGCCACCGAAGATTCAGGCTGCCCAATTTTTCTTGTAGAATACCGGCATCTGTTTTTGTTTGAGGACTGTTGAATTATCTCTTCCCCAGTTGCATTCAATACTCTGACAGCAATTTGCCGTTGCCCGATGCCATCCTGGAGTTCCTCTCTCTTGGGGCTTCTATTTCCACCGCAACAATGTGGCCATGGAGGACGGGGGCCACTTCTTCCTCGAGGGTGGTGAGCATCTCATAAAGTTGCAAAACAAGCAAGGTGGCCACATTCTCTTCCAGGACATGCTGAAGCCTCCCCAAGATGAATGGGGCAAAACTCAGGCCGCCATGGAAGACGCCCTGGCCTTGAAGAGGAACCTGAGCCAGGCCATCTTGGAGCTGCAGGCCCTGGTTCTGCCTGTGCAGACCCTCAGCTCTGTGACTTCCTAGCGAACTGCTTCCTGGATGAACAGGTGAAACTCATCAAGAAGCCCTCCTTTCCAATTTGGATGTCTTTTATTTCTTCTTCTTCTCCGATTGCTGTGGCTAGGACTTCCAGTACTATGTTGCATTAACAGTGGTAAAAATGAATATCTCGTCTTCTTCCTGATCTTAAGGAAAACACTTTTATTGTTTTCCTATTGAGTTTGATTTTAACTGTGGGTTTTTCATATATAGTCTTTATTATGTTGAGGTATGTTCCCTCTATTTCCACTCTACTGAGAGTTTTTATCATAAATGGGTGTTGAATTTTATGAAATGTTCTTTCCACATCATATGATTTTTATCCTTAATTTTGTTTATGTGGTATATCACATTAAGTAATTTGCAGATATTGTACCACCTTGGCTCCTAGAAATAAATCCCACTTAATCATGGTGTATGATCTTTTTAATGTATTACTGAATTTGGTTTGCTAATATTTTGTTGAGGATTTTTGCATCTATGTTTATCAGGAATATTGTCCCAATATCTTTATATGTAGTGTCTTTATATGTTTGCTCTCCTTGTACAATGAGCTTGTGAGTACTCCCACCTATAGAAATTTTTGGAATAATTTGAGAAGTATAGATGTTAGTTCTTAAATTTTTTTTAAAATTTACTATCCAGTCCAGGACTTTTGTTTTTGGGGACTTTTATTACTCCATTGATCTTGTTAGTTGCAATCAATCTGTTCAGATTTTTTGTTTGTACTTGACTCAGTTTTGAAAGATTGTATGTTTCTATAAAATTATCCATTTTTTTCCAGATTGTTCAACTTGTTGGCATATAGTTATTATTAAGAAGCCCTCCTTTCCAATTTGGATGTCTTTTATTTCTTCTTCTTCTCCGATTGCTGTGGCTAGGACTTCCAGTACTATGTTGCATTAACAGTGGTAAAAATGAATATCTCGTCTTCTTCCTGATCTTAAGGAAAACACTTTTATTGTTTTCCTATTGAGTTTGATTTTAACTGTGGGTTTTTCATATATAGTCTTTATTATGTTGAGGTATGTTCCCTCTATTTCCACTCTACTGAGAGTTTTTATCATAAATGGGTGTTGAATTTTATGAAATGTTCTTTCCACATCATATGATTTTTATCCTTAATTTTGTTTATGTGGTATATCACATTAAGTAATTTGCAGATATTGTACCACCTTGGCTCCTAGAAATAAATCCCACTTAATCATGGTGTATGATCTTTTTAATGTATTACTGAATTTGGTTTGCTAATATTTTGTTGAGGATTTTTGCATCTATGTTTATCAGGAATATTGTCCCAATATCTTTATATGTAGTGTCTTTATATGTTTGCTCTCCTTGTACAATGAGCTTGTGAGTACTCCCACCTATAGAAATTTTTGGAATAATTTGAGAAGTATAGATGTTAGTTCTTAAATTTTTTTTAAAATTTACTATCCAGTCCAGGACTTTTGTTTTTGGGGACTTTTATTACTCCATTGATCTTGTTAGTTGCAATCAATCTGTTCAGATTTTTTGTTTGTACTTGACTCAGTTTTGAAAGATTGTATGTTTCTATAAAATTATCCATTTTTTTCCAGATTGTTCAACTTGTTGGCATATAGTTATTATTAATATTTTCATATAATCCTTTATATTTCTGTGGTGTACGTTGCTACTTCACTTTCACTTTCGATTTTATTTATTTGGGTCCTCTCTCTTTTTTTCTTGATGAGCCTGGTTAAACATTAATTAATCTTATTATCTTTTAAAAACAAACTCTTGGAGATATATATATATAATCTCCTGACCTGAGGATATTTTTCAGTTGATTTTTAAAGAGCATGGAAGGAAGGGGAAAGACAGAGAGAGAAACATCAATGTAAGAGAAACATATAGATTGGTTGACTCCCGCCCATAGCCCTTGGGATCAGGGATGTAGCTGCTACCGAGGTATGTGCCCTTGACCAGAATCAAACCCAGGACCCTTCAGTCTGTTGGCTGATACTCTATCCACTGAGCTAAAGCAGTTAGGGCTCATTTATATTTTATATTATATTTTATGCTCTATTTTGTTTATTTCTGCTCTGATAGTTATAACGTCCTTCCTTCTATTCACTTTGAGCTTTGTTTGTTGTTCTTTTTCTAGGTGTAAGATTAGATTGTTTATTTAATATTTTTTCTTGAGGTAGGCCTGTAATGCATGAATTTCCCTCTTAGGACTGCTTTCACTTCGTCCCATAAATTTTGGTTTGTTGTGTTCTCATTTTCATTTGATTCAATGTTTTTTGTTTTTTTTTTTAATTTCTTCCCTGATCTCATTGTTAACCTATTCACTGTTTAGTAACATGTTATTTAGTCTCCATGTCTTTGTGTGTTTTACAATATTTTTTTTGTAATTGAATTCTAGTTTCATACCATTGTGGTCAGAGAAGATGCTTGATATGATTTCAATCTTTTAAAATTTATTGAGATTTGTATTGTGTCCTAACATGCAAACTATCCTAGAAAATGTTCCACGTGCACTTGAAAAGAGTGTATACTCTGCTATTTTGGGTTGAAATGCACTAATGCTATACCATATACTTGTCCGAGTACTTACTCCTTGATCCTGCTCAACTACACCAACTGTGTGAGTACAGGTCCTCTACTAGGAATTGGACCTTCATGGACGCCGGGTATTAGAGGGAGAAAGTATGAGTAGTCATAGGCATAGAGCAGAGTCTTTATTGTAGATTAAGTAGCCATTGCTACCAAGTAGCTATCAGACAAAGCAATTATTCAAAGTAACCTCACAGTAGCCATACAAAGCAGCCCTTGCTAATACAGTAGCAAACACAGGAGCCATACTAAGCAGCCGCACACTGGCTGGTCAATAGCACCTCTTTATACCAACTTAGACAAAAGAGGCTTCTTGCCAAAGAGTGACATTAATATTTAGGTTATAGAAAGGTATGCCTGCGCAGTGTGTACAGTAAGATTGCTATGTACTTGCTCAGATTGGCCTTGAAATCCATCATACTCTGGAAAGGGCCCCCACACTCCACCCCTTACGCTGGATGGTCTTCTAAGGATACCCTGGCCCATTTGCTAGCTCCTTGAACATAGAGCCTATAACAACAATACAAACTGTAGCATGTTAGGACTAGTACTCTGGCTCTAATAATAAAACTCAAGAATGCCCAATGCTATGTTTTGACAGTCTATCCTACCAATCTTGGAGGGGGTCATGGGAAAGGGCTTGTATGGCCTGCACTTTAATATCTATCTCTTATAGGACACTGGTTACATTGCCAGGGCTGGATCAAGGGATGTGACTGTAACTTATAGTTCTTCCTGCTTCCCCAAGGGGATAGGAGGGCTACCTGGGCCCTTTCCTAGTAACAAACCATGGCCAGGTTCTCCCTGTTCTCCCTCTGCCAAGGGGGAAGGCCTTGGTTTGCAACAATTCTTCTGTTGCTTTCACCTGCACATGTAATGTCTGAGGATACCTCTACATATACTCATCTAGCCTAATCTTTTAGGTGGAGCTTACATTTTCTGTCCCCACATGGGGCACTGGCCTACTAGACCCTGGTGTTTGTGCCATCATGGCAACCACATAGTCAAGCCTTTAAAGACAGTCTAACTGTCTGTTCTAATGGCCAAAGGGCTACTTTGCCCAGTATCTGAATTGAACTACATAGGTCATCAATATCCAAATGGACAGTCACAGTTGTCCATGTAATAGGGTTCCCCCGGCTAGATCCGTCTGTACACCACATAGTCTCCAGGAGGGGTGGCGTACCCTCTCAGATTATCCTAGGGATTACCTCCTCCATAGGAGTTTTAACACTTGACAGTGTCTTATATGTTACAGGACCCAACAGGGTTTGCAATTTCTGTGACAGAGAGCTGGTACTCACCTATGCCCTCTGTTCCAAATAGGCCTCCCCCACTTTGCTAGAGTTGGGGTTTGTGCCACTCCTGACATGGGTGTGGTCACACAGGCCTGCAAGGTAGTGCACATGGCTGCCAACTGTCTGTCAACGAGAGAGTAGCGGCTCCCAGCTTCCTTCCATAACTGGGACCAAAACCTGATGGGTACCCTTCTCTGCCCACTTGGGCAACTGCCCTCTTGGCAGCTAGGTACCCTTCTCTACTTCTGGGATTCAACCTCATGTCACCCCCTTCCAGGACAACTGATACATGGCCATAACAATGGTGTCAAGTGGGGACTGGACACTCACCAATACCTTTAAAAGACCAATACAGGCAGCTGTGTTCAAATTCTGCAAGAGAATTGATGGTTAACACAACATTTTTAACACAATGAAACATTGGCACCATGGGAGGCTTGCCTTAGGCAGCTAAGTCTTGTGCCGGTCTACTACATAGTGGTACTGCCCTAAAGACAGAGTTAGGTGGTCTACAAGATCCGTTATAGCTAGAGGAATCACTTTATTCAGTTCTCTGCAATCCATAAGTCAGTCACCAGGTGCCATCAGGCTTCTTCACTGGCCATACTGGAGAATTGTAGGGGCTGTGCACCTCAGATGATCCTCATCTTCTCCAGTCGCAACATTATCTGTTCAGTCTCCCTAAGATACACTCTGGTACGTGAGAGAGTTGCCTGTCACAAAGACAACTCAACCCCCACACCCATCTACATGAGCGACTGGGCCCACACATTTATCAGGGTCACTACAGAGCAAACTGTAGTCCGCAGTGGTATCTAC